CTGACTTGTGACAGTTTCCCAAGAGATAATCTTGCAATCTCTGACGTTCTTAAGTTCGCCCCATCGGAGTAGAAAGTAGTCAATATGACTTTTCTACCACTCGCCCTTGTAGGTTACCAGGTGGTTTTTTCTTCTCTGGAAGAGCATGTTTATTAGAGCCGCATCATATGAAACTGCCGCCTGCAAGGTGTTTTGTCCTTTATTTAATATGCCACATAAATGTCCTACATGTATTCTATCGTAACCACTTGAATGTTTCTTGACATGCTTGTTGAGGTCCCCCCCCAATTGACATTTTTCAGTTTCGCTGCATGATTTGCAGTGCAATTCTAGATTGCTCCAGAATTTCGATTTTTCGCTTCATTCTGGCCATTCTGAGGGGCGTAGGCACTTATTATATTGAAGATACCACTTTCCAAAGCTTGCCGATTACAGTCGTTGCTGGGGCTGGCTCCCTTGCTCATTTCTCAAAACCGTCATTGACTTGCTGCAGCGCATCACGTTTGACGAAAGGCCTAAGATCCTTTCTAGAGGTAAGTTGATTCATCATATTTGGCCTTTATATTGGTTTTAATGGCTGCATCCTGCCTGACGCCAATCCGTCCTTCTCAACCGAGCTTGGGGCCGTCTACAGCTCGTTGGGCTTTACAGCATGCCTATTTGATGGCGGCATGTACTCGCCACATCATTGCGTTGTCATCGGGTCTTACAGTATTTTCTAGACCCAATTGTGTCAGAAGTTAAATCGCTTCATTCTGGTATTACTGTCGTCACGCCCGCGACTGACTATTTGTTCCATTCTGTGATTTTCGCAAATCAACCTCATATTTGAGGATTGTCTCGTGTCTGAAACTTGTAGACGCGTTCGGTGACATCTGACCTTGTCCGAACACTACCAGCAAACTGCAATGTGGACTACATACGAATATTTCTTACCTGAGCTATGAGACTGAATTCGCCTGGTAAATCATTTAAATGGGCGGCATTACTGACCAGAATCAGCAAAGGCGAGCACCTCGCTCTTTTAGGAATTTTTTCTGGACATACGTCTTCTGCTGAGGTCAAGTATGCGGTAACGATGACCCAGGTTGAAGACAGCTGCCGTCGACCGAGAACAGACAAACACTACGACCGCAAAACGAAAATTGAAGCAGGTATAGTGGCAGAAGACAATCAGACGAGTGACGGCACGGCCGCAATACTCAGCGAATGACCAAATTAACATACGAACGTTGAGATTACCGAAGTTAGCGATTGCCTCGGGCAAACTGTATGCGCCGCATTGGCTGGATAACCTCAGGAACGAACACGTAGTCTCACAGCACAGCGGAAACCAGAAACATAGCGGCGCCAGATAACAAAATGAGTAGCTCTATGGTCGTGAGACTCAACGAGTGCCCAAATTAACATACGAATTCTCCGGATAAACGCAGTACGTCGGGGGAAACGTTTCTAGGAAGTCGATTAGGCAGTACGCATTATGCTAACTGTCTCCCACAAGAGCCAGCTTGCCTAACAGTTGGCTTTTTCACGTGTCCACAGGTCAGCAAAGAAGAACACCAGGCACTTTTTTAGAACGTCTACTGGGCATACACCATTCAGGACAAGCATGTGATGGCGATTGTCTTGGTTAAACTACATGGACCGCATCAGTTTCATATGGTCGACAACGCTCAACGTCCATGTAGAGTCACATCACAGCGAAAACCACGTAAACAAAGTAAATGCTATTCACGAGATCAGGGAAAGACAAGAATTAACAGTGAATGATAAAGGATTCATCATCCGCTGTTTTTGTCCATATTTCCTTGTCTGATAAAACGACAAATTTCGTTTTACACTTTTACGCCTTAGAGACCTCCTAGCGAATAATTAACACTGGGAGCAAGCGGTCATTCGAGAAAAATACTTAAGTTGGACATTGGCATTTGATAACCGTATCTTCTGGCTTAAGACGCTCAGTAATGGGTGTTCGCGTTAAGAGAGGCGCAGAGGTATCAATCGATCACCATCTTGTTGTTGGCACGCTGCTCTGACAAAAATGGAGTACCATACGAAAATCTGGTGGCAGAGGCAACCTGAGAATCAAATGGGAAACTATCTTCGGTGAACACGAGAGCGAAATTTGCAGACAGCATCCCACGACGATTTGAACAGATCCCAATGATGACAACTGACGTGGGCACCGAGTGGCGTACTTGTGATCGCTGCCAAATGCTGCGAATTTAAACAGGTTGGCCTGTCACCTGAAGATCACAGCATAGCTTTCTGGTGGACGCGAGAGGAACAACAAGCGGTAAATGAAAGAAGGCTCCATTCAAGAATTAGCTTCGAAGCAAGGATCCTTCTGTTCGCGTGCGAAGTGCGCAAGGCCGCAGTGAGAGAAGTGGCAAAACCCAACGCTGATTCCTGGGAGAAGTTCGGTGAGGTGTTGGAATCGAATTTCTGAACGCCAAACAAGGTATTCTGGCAGACAAATCACCGGCTATGTGATGAAAAGAAGGGCAGTCCAAGAGGCTCGAAGGACAGGTCTGGACACCCTCTTAAAGATGATAAGGAGATTCTTCGACAGTAGAGAGAGTACTTTGAGGAACTTCTTAACCCGGAGCAACCACAAGAAGACTCGCCTGTAGAACATCAAGGAACAGAAATTACTGTTTCAGTGGACGAAATAATACAGGCTGTGAAAATTTTAAAAAGTGGAAAGGCTGCAAGAACCGATGAAATTCGCCATGAAATGCTGAAGGTATTAGACAAACAAGGAGTGTTCTGGCTAACCAGTATTTCGAACTGCAATGGCTATGGGAAAACAGCGGCTGATTGGAAAAAGGGGGATTATAGTACCCTTGTTCAAGAACGGAGACCAAACGGAGTGCTTCAATTTTCGGGGCATTATTTCACTGAACCCCCAACTAATGCAGAGGTTCTAGAAAGGAAGTGTCGCA